GGTCTTAATTGCAAGATGTGATGGATTGTAGTGATGGGGTTCAGGGTACACTGCCACAAATAATTCCCGAAATATTGATTATTTTGAATTAAAGTTACTTAAGAAGCAGCCTGTGCAAGAAAAACACTCTGACCTCCTTTGTCCCCCTGAAAGCAGGAAATAAATCTCTCACATGAAAGGTACCCTCCCTGCACCAGGAGGTAGAGAGACATCCTTATCTCCAGCGATAGGAAATTCAGGGGCAAGAAGGCTGTGTAAACAGCTTTCTCCTTAATTTCTTCACTAACTAGTACCCAAGCCTAAGTTTCTTGGTTTTGTCAGTTCTTCACAAATTTATTGTTTCTCTATCTAAAAGGTATATAAAAGCTACCTGCTTTGGTCACTTCTTTGCAGTCTCACATTCTTATGGGTTCCCCGTATCTATGAAATCAAATTGGTTTTTCTCCTGTTAATCTGTCCCATTTCTATTTAATTATTGGACCAGACAGAAGAATCTAGAAGGGTAGTAGAAAATTTTTCCTCCTTAACAGTAGACATATGTTTTATCTGGACGACATCTGTGCAGCCCAGGCCAAGAGCTGCAGGTGACAGAGCAGGTAGACATAGATCAAAAGAAAAGGCTGGATTAGCCGGATGATCAGAGAGTTGGGAGAAAAGAACAGAAGCTAAGGGGGTAAGCTGAAGGCAAGTTCAGGGGTAAGTTTCAAGAATGAGAAAAACAAACAAATAAAATGAATGCCAAAACATGAGAGAAAAAGTTTGGGGAGAGGCAAGAAGCTTTTGATAAACATGTAAATGGTAACGGTTAGGATTCTGAGTAATCTTTTACCACTTGTCACCTGGCTGACCTTGAGTTTATTACTTAATTTATCTGATTCTAATCTCTACCCTTTTGGGTTGTTCTAAAATTAGAATTAACAGACATTTAGGACCTGGCATACCGTGGCAGCTCTGTACCACATACATACTCTTCCCACCCCAAGTCATTAATTTCTTAATGTCTTCTAAGGTGTTATGGCTTAATGTAGAATATGCTCACACACCAACATCACTCATGTAAGACATGCGCTTTGGTGTTTAGCCAATTATAATCGCAGCTCTTACTAAAATGTTAACTTTCATTGTATCATTACTACATAGTAAGATCCATCAACAGGATGTGCCAACACCAATAAAATTATGACTCAAATGAAGACACAGTATTTCAGAGCTTGCCAAATGAGTCCTGGGAGCATTGCCACAGATCCATCAGGCCAACAAACTTTGTCTGGTAAAGATATTGGAGCAAATATAAGATGACTTGTTCCCCAGCATAAAGCAAATATGATAACCCTGCAAATGAGGTTACATCCACCCCATTTTTATAGATGACAAAACAGTGGTCCACAGAAATTATATACTTCCTCAAAGTCCAACTGACTTTCTCGGAGTCTGGTTGTCAGCCCCCTCTTCTTCTGATTTTCATGCTGATATCCATCCCATTCCGGCATACTGTGGAGCAAATTCCTTGGCTGCATTAATCTACAGGTTGTCTTTGCTGCCTCACGGCATATCTAAGCTGCTCTCCAACTCTGGCTTAGAGGTCTCAGAGCCTCCAGTTCCTAGAAGCCCCAGTCTGTCCAGTCTACCTCAAGTAGGGTGGAGACGGATGGTGCTCAGAGGATCATCCCTGCACACTCCCTAATTTAGTCTTCTATCATTTGAAATTACATACTGCAAGTGTGGTAGAGTTAATTTATCCTTATCAAGAGAAAAATCTAATGCTATATAGACTATAATATACTACAAGAATTTTAGAGATCTCTATATTAACAGTTTAATTTGATAAAAAAAAGTTATTGCAGACTTCATATGTGCAAAGCACTCTACTTGGCTGCGAAAAAAAAAGAGAGAGAAATATTACTCGAGGACAGAGTGATTAGACAGGGAGGATTTGAAATCGTTCTCCATTACAAATCTCAATCCACCTCTTTTTTGTACTTGGGGAGGAGGAGAAGAGCATGAAAGGAAGATTTTTAAAAAGCAAAGAAGAGGAGGAAGGTAGGAGGAACATTTCAGTCTAATATGCAATTTTATTTATTTCAATTTAACAAGTTTTATGGAGTGGTTACTATAAACATATCATCCATTCTGAAATCCATATCATGCGTTCAGAATGAGTGAATGCCATAGCAGAATCAGTGCACTTCTTCCTTCCTCTACAGACACTCCTTTCCATCACCTGCTTCCTTCTCACATGCTCCCCCTCCAGGGCCAGTAAATCCATCTGAAAATCGGTGACAGCCATTTTAAATGAAGACTCAAGAAATGAAATATCCCTTCTAATATCTTCCTAGATAGCAACTCCCACATTTAGACCATAATTGTAGTTGGAATTTCTTTCCATCCATCTACTTATTCCTAACCTACTTATATTTGAGTTTAAAATATAGTCTTTTTAAAAGAAAATTTCACTGGTTTTAAAATGTCTAAACACATGACATTTTACCAGGCTTGTCAGCTACCTCTCTGTAAACACAGAAAGATGAATTATCTAGTCAATTCTTTTTCCTCTTTACAAACACAGAAGCCATTTCCTGGAGATCAATCATTCTTTCATCATTCAAGTTTAGAAGATTGAGGGAAGTTACTGATGTAGGCTATATCCTCTTTACATTGAACTTTTGTGAACATTCCTAATGTTCAGATTAAAAAACACATGCATGAATCACGCTGTTCAGATATAGGCATTGTTACCCTATAAAAGGGTGGCTTTTAGAAGGTAGAAATGGAAGCCAATAAGCAGAGGTGTTTTCCTGAGGTAAAGACAGTGATAATGAAGCATCTTGTCATCCTTCTGCTGTTACACCTGCCAGTCTGCTCAGCTTATTCTCTGAATGGAGCAGTGAAGAAGGAGGACCCAAACATGGATCTTGTCCAGGCACTTAATGGTGGCAGCCATTGCAGTCACTGGCCAACCCAAGCAGAGGAACAAATGTGCCTGCTTGTTCTAGCAACACAAAGCAGAATGATTTGATTGGAGGTTACTGTGTTGGAATAATTTAGCATTAAACAATATTAAAGTGCTGGAGGTGTAACGTCCCTTCATTTTAACAGAAAAGGAAAGAAAGGCACAAAAAAGGGATAGACTTACTCAAGTTTATACAATAAAATAGTAGCAGCAGCGTTGGGGCTAAATGAAAAGAACAAATGGAAAATGCAGAAAACTTCTCTGACTTTAGAATTTCTTTAGTTAAAATAATTGGGGAGGGAACATGCTAATTTTGATCAGTAGTATGAGGTAATAATGTTCGTATTGTTACTTGTCATGTTTGGACAAAACAACTTATCCCACTTCAGTCTTGAACCAGGTCTATATCAACAGTATAAAGTAGAAAAAGTTAGATATATTCATCAAAACTATCCACACAATTATGTCAAAGGAGAGTTTCTTTTTCTTTAAGCATGCTGGACCTGAATTTTTAACTTCAAATTTTTTACTTGGCTTAACAAAGTAAATTGCAATGAATTTTAAAAATTTGTATAAAGTTGGGCCGGCCCCGTGGCTCAGCAATTAACTGCGCGTGCTCTGCCGCTGGCAGCCCGGGTTCGGATCCCGGGCGCGCACCGACGCACTGCTTATCCGGCCATGCTGAGGCTGCGTCCCACATACAGCAACTAGAAGGATGTGCAGCTATGACATACAACTATCTACTACGGTTT